CGACAGACAGACCGGCAGACAAATAAGCAGATAGACAGAGACAGCGAAAGAGAAACACGGTCTCCTTTGCCCCCCACTCAAAGTGGCACCTAATACACCAGACAGACAGACAGACAGACAGACAGACAGACAGACAGACAGACAGACAGACAGACAGACAGACATCCAGACAGACAAACAGACAGACAGACAAACAGACAGACAGAGAGACAAAAACAGTGAAAGAAAGACATTGAGACAGATTTGGCCCCCACCCAAAGTGCTACCCGGTGCACCAGCTATAAAGGCCTGAATGAATGAACAAACACAATGCATCACACTCAATGTGCACACATTATCCCGCTACACACAATGTGTGCTGTATGTAATACATCATGTCACAGCTCGCAACATGTCGTCCACAAGCCATTGATGCCATGACCTGTCTCTGTTATGTCAATGACTTACCTCCAACAAAGATACGGGTATGCGAGATAGGCATGTGGGCCAAATTCCGGGTACGTCCGTGTCGGGCTACAGTGTAGATAAAAGCCGCTAAGTAATACCCTCTCTTCTCTAACCTCCGTTTGACATTTCCCTCCACTTCAGATATCAGAAGTCGCCCTTGTGATAATGCAATTGGAGATAGACTCAGATATATTTTGAAAGAAAACAAAAATCATAATTGAATCAGGCAAAAGGAACGTCATCTCGACATAGGTAAACAATACCTCCACGTGCTGAAGTTTGGATAGACCGAAAGCCACAGAAACCGAATCATTGCACGTTTCAGATCAGTACCGTATATCTCAGCATAATTTCGACGATGAATTCTAAATGCAAGAATGTATTATTAAGTCTCTTTCGACGTCGATTTTTAGAGATCAAACGCCCTTCTTCTGTACGCATGTTATTGGACCTTCCAAAGGCGGGTATTTCAATAAGGATATTATTGAGTCCGACCATTACAGGAATGGTAATTGATTCTATTTCTTTTTTATTTTGTCAGCTCAACTTGTGAGAGTTCAACGCAGTTGCTAATGCTAGGGTCACCTCGTCTCGTAGGCTCAGTTGATATCATGAGGGTCTACAGATGGTATGACCCTGGTTCGAATCCTAAATGAGGCGTTCTGAATTTGAGTTGTATTGGGAAGTTTTTACGGCTATCGGCCCATTCGGCTCGGTCCTGTCAGAACTGGACATCCAATTTGGGGCCACTGCTTGTTAAATAACCTGACAGTGATGAAAGAGGCGTTAACTGTATTCTACTTAATAGCCTTATTAATGCTCTAAATACCGACCGAGTCATTTCAACATCTGATCAAAGCTGAGATGAACGGCTCAGTCATCCTTCACTATAAGAAATATTTAACTTTTTATTTTGGTTAGAGAGGGAATGCGGTTGTTGGTTAAAGGCGGAGGGGGGGGGGGTGTCAAGTCTCCGACTCCCATCCACTCCTAACTTTCTTTTTTTACTTTCTTTTTTTTTTACACTGCATTCTCCATTACCCGCTAAAGGACAAGTGTGAGACGGCATTCATTCGAGGATTTGAAGAAAACTGCACTATCGCCCGCGACATTGAACTTTTCAATATCAGCGTGTATACTTGTGTAAGATTAAATGAAACGTAATAAATAAGAGGCTTAAGGTGACAATCCATATGTGCGGGACGGCAGCGGCTGCGGCACGGCAGCGGGACGATAAAAATCGCTCCAACAGAAATATCAATGTCTGAATCCATAAGTGCGGGACGGCAGCGGTACGATAAAAATCGCACCCAGGAGCGATTCTGCCGCTGCCGCAGCTCTGCCGCAGACAAAAATATGAATGTGGCGGAATAGGGTTGACTGTGAAGAATTTCCGTGTGATGCAGTCAATTCATTTGGCACGGAAAACTTGCTAAAACCATTGCACCCCTATGTCGTCGTTCATCCACCCATTGTCTTGATATGCCCAAATGGTGCCTTCTGGGCTGTCCTGAATGGCAAAGGAATGGAAGGACCTGTTCGTTATGCTAGTGACAAAAGATCAAGATAATTGCAGCTTTACAATACCGTGGCGAATTTACCCGACAATTGGTAACCTTAGTAAAATGTATTTATTTAATTAAATTTATTGAAATAACAATTAAATACCTCAACATAGAGATAATAAAGCAGTTAAATTAATGGAATCAATGCAAGAACATAGAAAATATGGATGATAATTAAGTCAATAAGAATGACAATAATAAGAAGAATAATAAGATGATAAGTCAATAAGAATTAAATGCAGAGATGTGTAGGCTCTATGAAGAAGATTCATAGAAAGACGCGCACATTTCGTCCCGCTGCCGTTCCGCTGCCGCACATATGGATTTAATGTGACTTGCGGTACCGCAAATATCGTCCCGCTGCCGTGCCGCTGCCGTGCCGCTGCCGTCCCGCACATATGGATTGTCACCTTTAGATAATAATACTTATTTCTATCATCCTCACCTCGTCGCCAATTCTTTTATTATCATCTCGAATCGTATAACACTTTTAACACTCTCGCGAATTAGAAATGGAAAAAAAACTGTACTAGGGAGGCTATAGTCCGGGCAACACCAAATGGACAACTTGTCAACCTCATTAATCTAATTGGCTAATTGCACACGCAGTCAGTTCAAAAGCAGAAAATAGGTTAAGCAAAAACAAAAACCAACACTCAGCTACCGTTCTTGTTCTAATCAAAGAGCCCCCGCCCAGACTGTAATTAAATATTAATGATGATATAAAATTTAAAAAAACACCTCTTTGTCATTCTCGCATATGCACAAAAATCGAGATTTTTTAGGTCTTTTGGAGTTCAGAGGCGCATGTAAAAATTCAAAGCAATTCGCGTCTTAGATTCTGTGTAATGAGGTCGATAAGTTGTCCACTTGATGTTGCCCAGACTATAAGAGGAAGAACTATAGAAGAGCAAAGAGCGACGGAGTCTTCGTTGATTAAAAGTGATAAAGTTTCGCCATGAAACAGGAGTAATTACTACGGTAATTTATAGTACTGCAAGACACGACTGCAAAAGTTCTAGACTAAAATCGAGTCATTCAGGTGCCCCGCCACTAACGGGTTTTATTTTTTGTTTGTTTGTTCGTTTGTTTGTTTGTTTGTCTGTTTGTTTGTTTGTTTGTTTGTTTGTTTGTTAAGCTTTTGAAACACTTTTCCCAGTTATCATAATATTTAAGAGAGAGAGAGAGAGAGAGAGAGAGAGAGAGAGA